TCTGTTTCCTCCACCACAAACTCTTCGGCTCTCCGTCTCGGATCTCAACAAACAAAGAAACAAAGATATGTCAATTTTTTTTTCTTCCCCTTTCTTATCTGTTCAGTACTAAACACAATATAAATAATACGGTTATTAGTCTGATACTGCATCAAACGTCCGATTAATTTAATCAATATTATCCGGTAACTATTTATACTATCTAATAGAAATAATCAGTACAGTCTGAGCTGCCAAACGAGATTTTAGTGGATAAAGTTGGAGAAAGACTTGTCTGTAATGGGCCTTGATATGGCGAGTCTAATAATGTAACGTGACATTTACGAACTCGTTGGATGTAAATTGATTTATCTCTTTAAATGCTTTAAATGCTCAGGTAGAGGTAAGAATGGGTATTGGAGGATGGCTGATATTTGATGATGCAGCTTTGTGTCAGCTTTCTGTGTGGTCCACCCAATGTTATTATCTACATTTATATCACATATATATGTTTTTGTATTTAAAGATAATTTAAAAATATTAGATTTCGATAAATAATAAAATCACTAAACTGGCATACGAAATTCTTGGAACATCATGAAAAAATACGAAACACATAAAATATTTTTTTTATAATTATCTTGGCCGTTGAATTTAAATTTGGATCATTAGATATTTTTTATTACCGTTAGATTTGATAATATTAGACTTTAGTTGTTGGATTTGATGAATTTATAAATGTAAAATTAAAAAAAATACACATATATGGTGGGCAAGTCCACTAAATTAAGGAAAAATCTTGGTCTAAATTTTCCCAAAAATGAATTTTGGGTTAAAACTCATATTTGATCTAAGAGTTAGAACAAGTTGGAGTAGTCAATCATATATTTACTATTAAAATGCATGTCGACATGTTTAAAAGTTTGAGAAACCGCTATCTTGGCGTCCTTGTTTTTTCTCTCGTCTGCTCAACATGCTATAAGTTGAAAGTGTGTTTTCTTGAGATGGCAGAGGCTTTTGGTGAATTTTGTACTTCCCTCAACCCCCTTGCTAAATCTAATACAAAACAAAAGAGATGTGTTTTCTTGATTGGAGATGTTTTTGGCCCGCACGTCCGCATAGGCTTCTTTCTCATTGGGTTTCCCGGCATTAAGAAAGTGGAATGTGTTCCACGCGACCTAATACAAAACAAAAGGGACGTTGTTATTGTTTCAATTTTTATTTGAGATGTCCAATGCATTACTATAGCTATACCACGATATGCATTTTTTTTTTCTTTTTTTTTGGGGGATAAAGATTTGGCTCCTCAAGTGTTGAAGAGGAATGCCTTTTTAAAATACGTCGTGGTTTATTTATAGAACTTTGTATTTAGAATCGGAATCGTTTATATTATAAATCAAACAACTGTAACAAAAAATTATGTCGTTGAGTCATCGAACTTTTATAAAACAAATAAATGGATTCGTTAAAAACATTACAAACCATTTTCTACAATTGATTTGATTAAATAATCTTAGTTTTAATTGATTTTTTGTAGAAATAATCTTTACACAATGATTTGTAATATAATATAAACAGTTTCGACCATAATATGCTAGAAATTAATACTCAAATTAAATTATGTAATTGTAGTACTAGTAAGTTTATGTGTGTGTAAAAGTGTCACATCCCGGCTCGGGCCCCCACCACAACCCGGGCCCGATCCACCACCGTAGCACGATATTGTCCGCTTTGGGCCCCGACCATGCCCTCACGATTTTGTTTCTGGGAACTCACACAAGAACTTCCCGATGGGTCACCCATCCTGGGAGTGCTCTCGCGCGCTACTCGCTTAACTTCGGAGTTCCTATGGAACCCGAAGCCAGTGAGCTCCCAAAAGGCCTCATACTAGGTAGGATGGTGATAGGAGCATATTTATGCGCCTTAGTTAGCTAGTTCTTATGCATTTTTGTTATGTTTTATTCGTTAAAGTAGTCTTTTAAGCTACTTTCATGTGTTTTCAGGTTTAAAGGACATATTACATGAAATAATGCAATTGGGAGCTTTTGGAGCAAAACTGAGCTGGAATGTGGTGTATGCAAATGGAGCACGAGGAATGAACGAGGTTGAAGGTCAAAGGAGCTTAAGAAATGAAGAAATGAAAGTGAAGAGCAAGGAAGTCGGAATTGGTAACCAAAGTTTCTAAAGTTGGAAGTTTCTATTCTTGGAGGTTTCCATTGTCGTGAGTTTCTATTCTTGGCTTTGGGCTTTTAGATGACCTAAACCCTAACTCTTTGTGGACCCTAAGCCTATGCCGCACCTAAACCCTAACCTTAGCCCATTTTAGAGCCATTACCGTGGGCTTTAGCCCAAGTCCTTTCCCTTGCCATGCAAGGGGAGGCATTTTAGGCCCAAATCCATGCATTAAGCCCTTCACCCTAATTCTTCCTCCTAATTAGTGCATCCCACCATTCCATTCCATAATTTCCATTAGTGCATCCCACCATTCCATTCACACTTAAATGCCCATTATCCCATTTTTTTTAGCTTTTAATTCCACACCATCCCATTATCCTTTACATCCACTAAACCATGCATCCACATTCACCTAAATAAACCCTAAATTACATCCACTAAACCATCCATCCACCATAATTCCCACCATCCACACCTTTTCCCATCCACCAAATACCTTAAACAAACATCCATTAACACCCATTCTCTTCCTATAAATACCCATTCATTCCATTCACCAAATCATCTCATTTTCCATTGTAATACACAAACACTTCCCCTTCTCCATCTTCTCCATTTCCACTCCATTCCACACTTCCATCCCCCCAACCAACCTATCCTTAAACCTTGTGCTACAACAACGAGGAAGATAAGAGTGCCTAAACGTTCATACAATTCAAGTTTAAGTTGTTGGAATGTTTAGGTGTTTCTTTGATTTCAAAGTTTCATTTTAATTCTCTTTGTTTTGTACGTATAAGGAATGGAAGAGAAGAGTGCTTAAACGTTCATACAATTCAAGTTTTGAGTTGTTGGAATGTTTAGGTGTTTCTTTGATTTCAAAGGTATGAGGAACTAATCCCCCTTTAGCTAGGGGGTGATTCGAAATATATGTTTATGCTTGCAATATGATTTGATTACTTTTAATTACGTTTCATAAGTTGTGAATTCAATTTGTTTAACTATTTGATTGATATCCTATTTATGTATGTTTATTAAGAATGAACGCTTAATTTTCATGCATGAATTTGACGCTAGAATATAAGTGAGTTTCACGTAATAGTTATGAACTTATATTCACAAGTAGTGGAGGTTGCTTATAAACAATCGCGTTAAACAAATTCTTGGCATAAGTTTCATGCAATCATAGTAACGAATGCCTCGTCAACACTTATAGTTTTCAATGTGCTTAATGATTCTTGCTTGTATCTCTATTATGCAATTCATGTAGGGAACTTGTGAGGAATGCTTTGGGTTGTCGTATGCAATCATCCAATTCATTAACTTAAGGAAAACTATACGGTTAATTAAAGCGGACCTAATTAACCCGGGGCGTTGAGAATTCATGGTTTATTGAAATACAATTAGAAATCTTTTTATTATGCAAGTGTAACATGTGTGGAGATGAACCCCTTGACTAGCATCCATTCATTCCATTTCATCAATTTCATATTTACATTCTATCTAGTTTATTTACTTGTTTCGTTATTTCAAATTTTGTCCAAATCCAATCCCCCTTTATTTTGTTTAAGTCTTAGTCTTTCTTACTTTTAGTTTTGTATTCTTCGCATTAATTAGTGTTTTAAACTTGTTTTTACGTTTTTGAGTCAAAATCCAAGTGATTAACAATCCCTCCTAATCCCCGGTCCAGAACGATCCCTACTTACATACTTACTACAATTGCCGAAAAGAGGGTTTAATTTGTGCGCGTATAATTCTCGCATCAGATGGGAATATACATTTAAGGATCAGTCCCCTGGGCGATGTGGAATGTCACAATCCACCCCCCTTAGGGGCCCGACGTCCTCGTCGGCACATTTCCGGCCAGGGATAGGCTCTGATACCAATGTCACATCCCGGCTCGGGCCCCACCACAACCCGGGCCCGATCCACCACCGTAGCACGATATTGTCCGCTTTGGGCCCCGACCATGCCCTCACGGTTTTGTTTCTGGGAACTCACACGAGAACTTCCCGATGGGTCACCCATCCTGGGAGTGCTCTTGCGCGCTACTCGCTTAACTTCGAAGTTCCTATGGAACCGGAAGCCAGTGAGCTCCCAAAAGGCCTCGTGCTAGGTAGGATGGGAATATACATTTAAGGATCAGTCCCCTGGGCGATGTGGGATGTCACAAAAAGAGTTTAGATTATAGTAGGACTCTAGGGAATTAGTTAGAGAATATGTAAAGCTTAGTAGGACTCCTCTGTGCAGTCGAAGATAAGATAAGATAAAGTGCACAACAACTCCCTTATCTCTTTAATAGTGTTTCACTCCATCTAGGATCATCTTCCTTGATATTCCTCATCTTCAAATCCTCAAGATTTTTGCACATGTTTGACACTTCCATAAGCTCCAAAACGCCTAGTTCTTGTTCTCCCTCCAATGCAATCCAAAATCAAGTCCAACTCTGTTCCTTCTTGTTCTATGTAATCTCTAATTGTCACCTTACCAAACTGGACCGATAACAAAACGAAAATGACATTAAAAATCATAAAAAAGGAAAATCTACTAAGTCAATAAATATATAAAAAAAAAATATTAAAGTCGTAGAAATATGATCTTATCTCATAAGCCCTAAAGTAACTTGATAAGAAACTCCTCTAGTTTAGGCAGCCAATCCGTGCTCAATATCATAAAATATAATTTTTTTTATTGCTTTTATAATAACACGTGATGTACCATTTGTGTTACGAGTATTTCTCAACCAAGTGTACCTTTTGTTGACGTGGCACCTTCCAGAAGAGGAAGGATACTCTCTTCATTTCAGTGTGGCTCCATCACGGACCAATGAAATCAGCTCCCGCAACATGGTAAGAAGCACGCGAAGCAGGGGATCATTACTTCCTTCCGCACGGCCACGGAAACTTCCGGCCAGACGACGGAACCTGCGAGTCAAGAGACGGAGAGAGAGAGAGAGAGACAATTTCAGTTTAGCAAAATAAATCAGGAATAATTAGAATTATTAGAAATTAGAAATCGCGATCAGATCTCTGTCTTCTCGAGAGCTTCACAGGCGTATTGCAATTTGCAGAGAGAGCGAGAGAGGAGTGAGAAACCAGTTGTTCGACTCTGATTGGCGGGAAATCGAAACCCTAGAAAGAGAGATGGGGGTTCCGGAGAATACGAAGGGGTTGATACTGGCGATGGCGTCGAGTGCGTTCATCGGCGCGAGCTTCATCCTGAAAAAGAAGGGTCTCAAGCGCGCCGGGGCCGCCGGCACCCGAGCAGGTCAGTTTTATATGAATTTCAATCTCAGATATTGAGAATTTGGAGTAAATTGCAATTGTTTAATCAAAGGTTCAATTTTTAAAAATAATTAGTGATGTGTTGATTGAAAATTTGGAGTAATTTACAAAGATTTAATCAAAATTTGTTATGGTGCTCCCTTGGATTTGTTTGAGTTGGGTAGGAGTTGGTGGATATACATACTTATTAGAACCACTCTGGTGGGCTGGCATGATCACTAGTAAGTGTAGCTCCCTCTCTCTTTTTTTCTGCAGAAAATTTTACTGAACTCATAACTAGATATGATCATGAGTTACTGAAATTATATTTGGTTTTCGATTTTTTCAAATGGGTAGTGATTGTTGGGGAAGTTGCCAATTTCGTGGCCTATGTATATGCTCCGGCAGTTCTTGTAACCCCACTTGGTGCACTGAGTATAATTGTCAGGTAAATGCACTTGTAGACGCTGAGTTCATCGCTGTGCTGATTATTGTTTTGAAAGTTTTTGTTACCGACTTAGGTGTTTGTTGGATTTGTCTAGTGCTGTTTTGGCTCACTTCTTGTTGAAGGAACGAATAACGAAAATGGGTATCGTGGGATGTGTTACCTGCATTGTGGGATCAGTCGTGATCGTGATCCATGCACCTCAGGAACATACTCTAAATTCTGTAGAGGAAATCTGGGTCCTGGCTACCCAAACAGGTTCGTGACCCCATATCTCTTCCTTTTCTTTTTCAATGCTACTTGTCGTAAAACCTCCATTGACTTGTAAGTTGTAATTAACTTTTTGTGTTTTCCTTTTCTACACAGCCTTTCTGGTTTATGTTGTAGCTACAATTTCCCTGGTGTTAGTTTTGGTCTTGCATTTTGAACCACAATATGGGCAAACAAATCTACTAGTCTACTTGGGAATCTGTTCCTTGATGGGTTCACTTACGGTAACTATCCTTTTCTTGTTTGCTAAGCACGTATAGTCATTTTGTTCTTATGTGCTCAAATATTGTTAGGCTTGGCTGTGTACCTCTGTTGTGCTACTTCAGGTTGTAAGCATAAAGGCAATTGGAATTGCAGTAAAGCTAACTCTTGAGGGAGTAAGTCAGATTGCTTATCCTCAGACGTGGTTTTTTCTGACAGTTGCTATAATCTGTGTTGTTACACAGTTAAATTATCTTAACAAGGTCAGTTTTGCTCTTTTAATTTTGGCACCTTCCTCCACGACCATCGTCATTGGCGTTTGACTGGCCTTTTTTTTTTTTGGCTAAAAGTCTTTGCTCCACCTGAATGCCTAACTTTTATTGGCTTTCTTAGATCCTGTTCAGCCCATTTGTTACCTTTCAACTACTTTGTGTTCCTAGCCTATAAAGGAGGGGAATTTGATGTACTCTACTTTTGCTATATAACTTGTCAATATAAAGCAGTAGATAAAGCATACAGTATTTGCGTTCTGATAAATTTTTAAATTTCTCAAAATCTAAAATTTTAATTGGAGTTTGAAAGTAACTTTAAGTTGGCCTACTTATTGAAAAATGCAACGTATCACATGCTGCTTGGATGTTAATCTTGTTGGTATTTCATTTCAGCCATCTGTAACTCAGATCTCTCTAGGAAGTTCAGATTATAAATTATTATGTGCTCCGTCTCATATCACTGATGTTGGCTGCATCTTTGTTTCAGGCTTTGGATACATTCAATGCAGCAATTGTTGCCCCAGTATATTATGTGATGTTTACAACTCTGACCATAATTGCTAGCGTAATAATGTTCAAGGTAGATCGCTTGTTCTATATAGTGGGGTTTCCTTCTGATGCCTTCATTTGTTACTTGTTTTCCATGCATTTTTAAGACATGAGAATCTGATTTCATGTTGTTTTCTATATTCTATACAGGATTGGTCTGGTCAGAATGTAAGCAGCATAGCCTCTGAAATATGTGGATTCATTACTGTGCTGTCAGGAACCATCATACTCCATGCAACAAGAGATCAGGAACCATCTGCTCCACAACCACAAGGTATTTATATGGACTTTTTTTCCTTAACTTGTATTATATGGGATTTGGGGCTCTTTGTTACCTTTTAATTTGTCCTTTGAATTCGGATCAATATGACAAGTACAAATTCTTCTCTAATAAACGGGTTGAACATAAAACAGATGCATGCTAAATTTGATCCCAATGATGCGAGACATTTGGTTTCCTCTTGATATGAAAACAGTGATCAGGAATAATATTTACAATGTGCCTGAAGCTTTACTCAGTTGTAACATTCCATCATCTTTGTAACTACTACTCTGTTTGAGCACCAAAAGAGAAAAAATTTTGCGGGTACTGTTTCTTTATCAGGTTGAACTGTTTCAGGTTGTGATTAACACATTGGTTTGACTTAGGGTCATATTACACTTACAGTTGGCAGTAATATTTTCCTTTTTTGCTTATGATTGGTACGAGGGGATGCTTCTTCCTAGTGCTTTTAAAACATATCATGTAAATCTTTGTATTGAGTATTGACTTGAGCTTACAGTAGTTCTTCTCGTCATAGCAGGAACTGTTACATGGTACATTAGAGGAGATTCAGTGAAGAGTTCTGAAGATGAACGTTTGCTCACTTTACAGAATTCAGATTATCCAGAACCGTGATGCCAATTTTAATCTGAAACAATCATCTTGAAGAATGCAATCCCAAGCGATGAAGCTGCACTGCAACTATCATTTTGAGTAGGAGTGAGTCTATGGGCATCCAGCACATTGCTACCCATTTTACCCTTACTCTTTAATAAGTTGGTCCCCCTCTCCCCTCCCTTCACTATCCCCTTTCGTCTCCTCACCTTTCCTCCCCTTTCCTCACATCCCCTCAATCCCATGGCTGGCCTGTTTTATAATTTCTTTTCTTTAGCAATGTGCTGGGTGCCAATAGAGCCACCCTTTAAAGAGTGTGTGTATAGTAGGGAGCTCCTAGTTTGTCCGAGGCAGACCTTGTGGATAGTAGCAGATTGCGGAGTTAATTTTATGCACTTCACCGGCCAGCAGATGAGACCCTCAGCCGGACACTCAAACAAAGTTAATTTTGTGTGGTGTGTTTCTGGAACCCTCTGAATGCTAAGTTCCGAATCATCCTCGGCTCTGGAATGGGGTTGCAGTTCTGTATCAATACCAGGGGATGAAGAGACTTCTTGTCATTGTGGCGATGTCCTATCTCTCCGTGATGGCTAATTGCATCTGTATATATTGATGCTCGGTTTCTGATTCACTAGTTTTTCGTTTATGATTCTCGTTGATATCCAGATTGAGTTTGATTCTTTCCTCTATTTCTAGTGTGTATAATACCGGCATTGAAAGATGATAGAATGGAGCTGCTAGGCACAGTTGCCATGTAATGGGCAAATACATGGAATCTGTAAATCTTGCATAAACTCTTGAAATTTTGGGTTTTGTTGTTGATGAATGATGAGTTCGATTGGGATCTTCAATTTTGTTTTCTTGTTTTGGACATCTTCAATTTTTTAAGGGCAAATGAAGTGCACTTTATTTGTTTGGGCTAACTATATTTTACTCTTTAAGTTAGGGTAATTTTGAAATTGGGTTGAGGTTTAAATTTAATTTACATTATACCTGAGGTTTTAAAATTGCATTAATTTATGTCTTTTGCTTAACCAATTATTTGAGTCTTAATTAAATTATAATTACTGAACTTACAAAGCACACTGGTATGTTTCATAAGCCAATAGGAATACAATTTATGTCTTTCGTTGGGCTTGTTGCACCTCCCTTAGCCACTGGGCTTTAGCCTGATTCACTCATATTTTATTTATTTAATTTATTCGATATTTTCTTTCGGATTGAGCTTTTTTATTTTATTTTAGTTCAAATAACTAATAATAAATAGAAGACTCAAACCAATTAATTAATTATAAAATAAAACATTTAACATAAATAATTTATATTAAATTTGGTGCTTACCAGTTTTATCATTTGATATCATTCTACCATGTGTGACTTTGTAGTTTTCAACTAAAGTTGGTAGTGGATAATTTAATTAATCTAGTTTTACATAATTAGAAACCATTCTAATTTAACCTTGTAGGAATATCCACAAACTGACTAGTAACATCTAGCTATGACTATCGGCTATCCAGATTAGCCAGAATATGTTTGAATTCATACCACACATATTTAGAATCTTAGCTATGGTTACAATGCAATTTGGTTTCATTGTATTCTACATTCCAATCATAATTGTAGAGTATGAAACTATTTTCAAATTCTCCATGTAAACATGATCACCTATATGTATCTCATGTACGTTGCTTTGGCCAAAGACTTATGGAGATAGATCAAAGGGATCCAGGAACATCTACCTTCATGATTACCTAGAAGGTTGCAGATTCTTTATTGTGCATTCACGTATCTTCATATTAATACATATGACCCCGATCCTCATTCTATGGGGCCTTTCTATCATTTGAGAGCTTTAAGGTGTGGCCAAAGATCACATTCACTAACATGAGATAACCAATGATGCTTCAGAACTAAGAACTAGTTGCATCCATACTTGGAAGTGTGGTACGATTGACAACTATGTAATCTTCCATTTGTACACTTCTATGGTTGGTCAATGTTCAATGAATTCAATCTCATAGACGATCACCCTTATGTCTATTATATGTCACTACATGCTTAGTATGAGATTTACTACATACAAACCGGCTTTTGCAGATGTTCGATAGTTCGGTCATCCTATGACTAGGATCATAGTTTAGGACTTAATATTCTTAGGGTATGTATATCAAGATTGGAACTTCTTTCCAATCTTGTCCCTACAACTTAAGGTATTCCTTAGGCTCATCCTAATCAACAACAAACCTTCCTAATCTGCTATCAGGTCACGTGCTTGATTGAAAGATGTTTTCACTTGCACTTGTCGTCGATGGATTGATATTGGGCTGTTATGAATAACCAATTACGTGTGGTCACGTCAATTGCTTTTTGGGCATGTTCCAACAAAAGAATTTCTCAAAGATCCTAAGTGGAAGAAGGCAATGAATGAAGATATGCAAAGAATGGTATGTGGGAACTTGTTCCTCTTCCAAAGGGAAAATGAATTGTGGGGTTCAAATGTGTTTTTACAGTCAAAGTTATGCTCAATAGAAAGATACAATACAAGGTTAGTAGCAAAAGGGTATATTAAGAAATATGGAATTGATTATCATGGAACATTAGCTAGTGGTAAAAATCAACACCGTTGGACTTCTATGGATTTCTATCTTTAGCTGCAAATCTTGATTGGCCTTTGCAATAATTTGTTGTAAAAAACTTTCTTGCATGGTGATTTGGAAGAAGAAGTTTATATGGCTCCCCTACCTGGGTGTAACATGGTTTTGAAGAGTTGTGTGTAAAATGAAGAAATCATTACATGGCCTGAAACAATCTCCAAAGCGTGGTTTTGAAATGAATAAATCACTACATGGACTAAAACAATCTTCAAAGCGTGGTTTGGAAGATTCATTAAATCTATGAAGGCATTTGGGTTTAAACAAAATAATTACTTTGTTTTTGAAACGTAAAAGAGATAACATTACTGCTTTAATTGTGTATGTTGATTACATGGTGGTAATAGGAGATGATCAAGAAGAAAAGGACTCATTACAGAAGTATTTATCTTAAGAGTTTGAGATGATAGATCTTGACTCCTTGAAATATTTTCTTGGGATTAAAGTTTACAGGTCATAACAAGGTATTTTCTTATCTCAATGCAAGCATGCAAACTTGTTGACACTCCAATTAAGATGAATCACAAAAATGTGTGAGCAAGAAGGTCATACACGAACTAATAAGGAACAATATTAGCGCCTTGTTGGAAGGTTAACATGCTTAGCACACACAAGGCTAGATATTTCATATGTTGTGAGTATTGGTAGTCAGTTTATGCATGCACCTAATATTGACCATAGGAATGTTGTGGATCGTATATTAAGATATTTGAAGTTTACACTGGGTAAAAGGGCTTATGTTTGCAAAGCATGGACATCTAAACATCCCTATGTATGCTGATGCTGATTTGACTGGATCCATCATTGATAGACACACTAATTCAGTTTATTTCACATTTGTTGGTGCAAATTATTACTTGGCGAAGTAGGAAAAAAAAATGTTGTTGCAAGATCAAGTGTTGAAGTTGATTATCGAGGTATGTCATATGGAATTTGTGAGTTGTTATGAATTCATAATGTAATGTCTTGTCAAATTTAGGTTTTAAGACTTGGAAAAGTTATGGAATTAATTGTGATAATTAGGCTGCAAATGATATTGCTCATAATCTGATTCGACATGATCAAACTAAACATGTTAAAGTGGATAAAGATTTTATCAAATAAAAACTGGAAAAAGAATTTATTTGTTTTCCTTTCGTAAAGTATCAACTGGCAGATATTCTCACTAAAGTTGTATCAAAGCAAGTGTTTCATAGCTCACTTGGCAAGTTGAGTATTAGTGACATCTATGTACCAACTTGAGGGGGAGTGATAGAGTAACTACACCTAGTGTCCTGTTCTCCCCACTTCTTATGGTATCTTCATATAATCCTTCTTATGGAGAGAAATGCAATCATAAAATTCTCACATATTCTAACAACTTCTATAATAATTAAAGCCCTTTATTTTTCTTAAACCTTGGCACCTTGGTTCAGATACTCAGAGTTGTACCAATTAGTTTTTCATTTGATGATATTTTTCTTCCCATTAGTAAATAAAGGTTACAAAAGAAATACTTCAAATTCAATATTTCACAATTTATTTTTATATATGATGTATCATGAATCGTTATCCCTTTGCTTTTAATCATGTCCCTCTTCATTTCATCCGACATGCATATTTTTTTATTTTTCAATGGATTTACATTTTTCATTAATGGAAAAAATTGATGTAGTGAGTAATAGCTCTAGTTGTTCGTTGTTCAAGAATTCTTGTTTAGGTAGTTCATACCATCTATACATAATGTTTTGATATAATATTTCAATGGGTAAATTACACTTTACCATCTCTGGTTTGGGTCTATTACAATCGCATACAACATATTTAAAACATTTCACTTTTATACCTCACATACTATTTTATTTCAATATAGTACCTCCATTACATTTTCCATCTATTGATCCGTTAAGAGCTGACGTGGTTGCCACAATTGTGTCACGTGCGTGCCAAATTTGTGCTTTTTTATTCATTTAAAAATATTTAAATAAAGGGAAAAAAAAACCAAAAACAACAGACCCAGAACCCATCTTCTTCCCCAACCCCCTCCCTGCAACCTAAACCCCTCATCCCACCCCACCCCCACCTCCCTCGCAACCCCCCTCCTCTGACCACAACAGCAACCTCCTCCGTCCAAGGCTGCACCGCTCTTATCTCGGATTCTCCAACGTGAGCCCATCGTAGTTCTCTCTCTCTACTTCTCTCCAATGGTAGCCATAGCTCGCGTCTCCAGGAGAACCTTAACCTCTTTCGACTGGAACGAGCCGGAACCCAAGCCCATTGAACCTACAACCGTTACTTTCCCACTGCTAGCACCTGCCGCGCCCTCCATTGCTGAAGCACCGGTGCTCCGCCATGCAACGCCCTTCAAGCCTACCGAGCAATCAAGCAGTGCCAATCTACCATGCCCATCATGAAAAACATGGGGAAAAAGATGGGTTTTGGGTGGGGGGGGGGGGGGGGGAGGGGCTACGGGGGAGGTGGGGGTGGGCTGGGATGGGGGGGTTTAGGTTGCAGGGAAGGCGGGATGGGGGAAGAATATGGGTTCTGGGTTTTTTTTTTTTAATAACTTTTCTTTAATTAATTATTTTTAAATGAATATAAAAATTATTTTTTTGCCACGTAACACAAATTTGGTAGCACCAGCTCTTAATGGATATATGAATAGAAAATGTAATGGATGTACTATAGTGAAATAAAATAGTAGGTAAGGTATGAAACTGAAATGTTTTGAAGATGTTGTATGTGATTGTAATAGACCCCAAACCTAAGGTGGTAAAATGTAATTTACCCTATTTCAATTCTTCCATGTTTCAGCAGTAGTTAGTATATTGTTCCATGGAGCTAAGGTCCAAAATATGGAAGAAACAAGTGTTTCCACGACTTTACCAGTTGGAATTGAGATCTCATTCAAAGAGAAAGACATCAAATATCTGGAGTTTCTTTTTGTATATTATATGGATGATCCGATCTGCAAGGACCATGATTGGGAATTGTTTGATTGTTTTTCCCTGAGGAAGAGGCAAAACATAATCAACTTGAATTCGGGTCAGCTATTTGAAATCTTAGTGAAAGATTGGATTTGTTATCTCATGTTTGCTTTTCGTGAAAAAAATACCAATTAAAGAGGAGGGTTTCTTCAAACAACAAGGAGCTAGGTCAATTATTCAATCAAATGAAATTGAGCATGCTTCCTATCTCTTCTCGAGAAACAAGTTGGCTATGCAAAATTGTGCTCAATTTCATATGCTGCAATTCTGCCAAGATCTCTTCTTTGGTTAGGGGAAAAATCTGCACGAATCGAATTTTTTGAGGAACATATTGAGAGAGAATTGGTTAGACAATGTGTGGTTGTTAAGCAAGGATCGGTTTTTTAGCAAGGTACATAATGCATCGTCAAATATTCAATATGATTCCACAAGATCTAGTTTCGTTCAAGTAACGGATTCTAGCCAATTTAAAGGATCTTCTGATCAATCCAGAGATCATTTTGATTTCATTAGTAATGAGGATTTAGAATATCACACATCGATCAATCAAAGAAAGATTCAACAACTAAAAGAAAGATTGATTCTTTGGGATCTTTCTTTTCTTCAAACGGAATGAACAGAGATAGAATCAAACTGATTCCCTAAATGCCTTTCTGGATATTCCTTAATGTTCGGGCTATTCACGAAACGTGAGAAGTAAATGAATAAGCATTTGCTTTCGGAAGAAATTGAAGAATTTATTGGGAATCCTACAAGATCCATTCATTCTTTTTTCTCTGACAGTTGGTTAGAACTTCATCTGCTTTCGAATCGTACTGAGAGGTCCACTAGAGATCAGAAATTGTTGAAGAAAGAACAAGATGTTTCTTTTGTTTCTTCCAGGCGATCGGAAAATAAAGAAATAATTAATATATTCAAGATAATTACGTATTTACAAAATAGCGTCATAATTCATCCTATTTCATCAGAGTCGGGATGTGATATGGTTCCGAATGATGAATTGGATATGGACAGTTCCAATAAGATTTCATTCTGGAACAAAAATCCATTTTTTTATTTATTTCATATATTCCATGACCGGAACAAGAGGGGATACATGTTACACCACAATTTTGAATAAGAAGAGAGATGTCAAGAAATGACGGATATATTCACTCTATCAATAATTGAGCCGGATCTGGTGTATCATAAGGGATTTGCCTTTTCTATTGGATTGGATAAAAAACAATTCTTGAATGAGGTATTCAACTCTAGGGATGAATCGAAAAAGAAATCTTTATTGGTTCTACCTCCCATTTTTTATGAAGAAAATGAATCTTTTTATTGAAGGATCAGAAAAAAAAAAAAAAAAAAAAAAAAAGGGTTCGGACCTCTTGCGGGAATGATTTGGAAGATTCAAAATAAAAAATAGTAGTATTTTTTAGCAACAACTTAATGGAGGCAGTCAATCAATATAGATTGATCCAAAATCTGATTCAAATCCAATATAGCACCTATGGATACATAAGAAATGTATTAAATCGGTTCTTTTTAATGAATATATTCTAATGCAAGTGCGTTACATAATGAGGTAATTTCATGCACAAGAATTCCGGTTGTGCGCCCTTATGATTATGTCCTCTTGAGCGATTTATTGTGGAGTAGGTTTTTAAAGTTCGAAAAATTGAAAAAACCAGAGTCAGATTCCTTTCCATATCAAAAACCAAAAAAATAAAAGAATAAATTACATTTTACCATCTTAATTCTGAGTCACATAACAAACTCATATCTCATATTTTAAACATTGTAACTTCATACATAAACTTACAAATTGGTTGGAGTGTCAGGCCTCCATCTTCTGGTTCGTCAATTTATCTGTTAACTGCTGATGTGGCTGGCGCGTAACCGCTTGTTCAAGATACCTATCTCGATGCCGTTCACTGAATTTGATAGCCGTCTTCATCAATCCATTGCCTCATTGTTCAAATCCAGTTCTCGATCTTCGACCTCGACTCTAATCGTCGCGATTGGGTGACATTAGCAACGCGCTAGTGAGGAGGTGACATTTCTGTGAGGTTGAGCCTTCGAGGTATTTGAGGTTAGAGAGGTTAGGGAGGGTGGCGGGTAGGGTGCCAGTGAGGAGGTTCTAGGCGATGTCGAGGTGCTCGAGAGTTTGACACGTGAAAAAGGAGGATGGAGTTGTTGTAGAGGGAAAGGTGGGTGAGGTTTAGGAGGCGGCATAGGAAGGTTAGGAAAAAGTTGGTGAGGTTGTCGCTGGGAGGAAGAGGGAGCATACGACGGGGGAGGCAAAGCTCGAAAATTTGATGAAACTCGGGGTCCTCTGGCTTACCGAGTGCAACTTAGTCGGTGAGATTCTCAGTTTGTTAGGTCGACTCAGAAACCTCTAGGATTGGACCTCTCCAACCAGTGGTGGATCCAGGATTTTAACATCGGATGGTCCGATCCCAATTTAGAAGCTTTAAAAAAATCAGACAAAAAACCTTGAAAAATTAAATGATGAACTACTAACTTTTCATTTACACGCTACATACTACAGCTTGAGATCATTTCCAAAATGAACAACAAGGTTTCAGTTTCGGCATTTTATATCTAAATGTTTTTATTTTCAGTTTTTATGACTGGTTTAAAACGAAACAAACAATGCAAGTGATGCATTGTTTTGGTGGTTAGAGTTTTACTATTCAACCACAACGTCCCGGATTCAAACTTTCTTTCTTCCTTTATTGTAAAATAAACATAGAAATTGTCTTCTATAATTAGAAAACGGTGCAAACAAATGAAAATAATAAAAAATGAATAAAACAAAGAGAAGAACATACACACAACAAACAAGATGAAATTGATAGCAATTAAAAAATAGATCAAAAAAAGATGGGAAGAATGAGGAAGCGGTAGAGAACAAAAGGATATAATTTCAACAACAATAGAAAAGAAAAGCAAAGACGTAAAATAAAGTGACGTGGCTTAATTTTCTAAAAGCTAGAAAACGCCTTGGCCCAAAAACAAATGGCCATAAAGCAAATGCTTATTAAATGACGGGATGAAACGACGCTGTATCGTTGAAGAGATTTTTCAATATGACCGTCACATAAGACGGTACACCATATATTTCTATATAAATAGTAAGATATGTGTGTTAAAAGGTTTTAAAATTTTTCACCACTTATATAAAAACACATGGTATACTATCCGTATTCCTGTCATAACTAAAAATTTCTCATATTGTTGAGTGTAAAAAGTTGAAAAAAGCTGTTTTTCTTCTTCCTCCTCCTCAGGCTGCCCTTTCTGGTTTTCATTCCCCGCAGCCGCTACCACCAAATGCCCAGATTTAGATGGTCCTCAGTGGTCTTCACAGCCAACTATTTGGATTTTTGGTCCTAGGACCACCTTGCACCCTTAATAGATCCGCCTCTATCTCTAACATCGGCTTAATCGGCTGGATTCCTCCGTGTCATTCCTCGGACTTGGTTTTCTTGGACACGAATACGGGTGGAAGAGTTGTCGTGAATTTCAAATAGGAATCATAGAAGATATGAATGGAAATAAGAGTTTTTTTTCATTAACTATAATTTTGTTAAGACATAAAAAAAAAAAAAAATCTTAATTGGATTATATTTAGTTAACTTCTCAACCTAGTTGAGCAAGGAAATAAGTTCCTCGCCTGTCACGCCAACAATTTACAAATTAATTCACAGAAAATGAGATAGATGTTTGACATTGTAACAAATTTGCTAATTAATGTATGATACTGCAATATTCATAAAATGTGTAGAGAATTGTTATTGGCACTTTAAAAATCTCATTCTACACTTCAAACTTTCTATATTTGGAAAGAAAAATACACTTGTGATGAGTGTAGAATAAAATTTTTAAAGTGCCAATAACTTTTTCCAATGTGTATAAGTTTATTATATGACTTAAATTGATGCGGTGAATATATAATTTACATAAAATAAAAATAAAACCTCACAGATTCCGTCTCTGACAAGGAAAATCATAAACTCCAATCTCAACCGTCGGATTAAATCCTCATCCCTTACCTTACCCTATACATTCGTAACCTCTTCACTGCATCTCCTCTACGCAACCCCTAAACTCACTTCGTGCAAGAGAAAAAAGGAGCGACCATTTTCAGTTTTCCACAGAGCTACCACGGCAACCATGGCGGCCACCGTGTCTCCGTGGGCCAAGCCCGGCGCCTGGGCCCTCGCCGCCGAGGAGCAGGAAGCCGAACTCGAACAGCAAGCCAAAGAGGAACAACAGCGCGCCGTTGAGCCGCCCTCCGCTGACTTTCCATCTCTCTCAGCAGCCGCCGCCACCAAGCCCAAGAAGAAGAAACAGACCACCTCCCTCGCCGTGGAGCATCCCGTGGGCCTGACCCACGAGGACCGGATGCTTTTGCCGACCGGTCCGCGCGAGCGAACCGCCGAGGAGCTTGAACGGAATGGGCTCGGCGGCGGGTTCAAGACTTATGGGGGCGATCGGGGAAACAGTAGGTATTCCAACGGTGACGAGTCGTCGGATTCGAAGTGGGGTCAGAGGAAGGAAGGTGGGTTTGGGAAGGAATCGAATCGAGATGAACCTTCGAGGGCGGATGAGGTTGATGATTGGGGCGCCGCGAAGAAATCGATGTCGGGAAATTCCTTTGAGAGGAGGGAGAGAGGAGGAGGAGGTAGTTTTTTGGGTGGGTCACAGTCGAAGGCTGATGAATCCGACAGCTGGGTGTCGAATAAGAGCTCCATGCCGTTGGAGGGACGGAGAGTTGGCGGTGGTGGTGGCGGTGGCGGGTTTGATCGGGAGAGGAAAGTAGGGTTCCCGTCTAATGGAGGTGCTGATTCTGATAATTGGGGGAGGAAGAAGGAGGAGACTAATGGTGGGTCTGGATTTGATCGAGAGAGAAAGGTTGGGTACGTGTCCAGTGGCGGTGGTGCGGATTCTGATGTGTGGGGGAAGAAGAGGGGGGAGAGTAATTTTGGTCTTAATGAGAGTACTGCGAGAACGAGGCTCAATTTGCAGCCTAGGACTTTGCCTGTGAGCAACGAGACCTCACCAGGGTCGGCCACTGCACCGAAGCCTAAGGGCTCGAACCCATTTGGTGCAGCAAGGCCGAGGGAGGAGGTGTTGGCGGAGAAAGGGAAGGACTGGAAGGAGATTGATGAGCAGCTTGAGTCTGCTAAGATTAAGGAGGTGGCGGGGCTAGCTAACAGCGAGTCGTTCGGGAGGAGGAGTTTTGGGATGGGAAGTGGGCGTGCTGGTGATCGAACTGAGAGAGCTTGGAGGAAGCCTGATTCACGCCCCCAGAGGTTTGTTGTTTTAGTAATATGATCGATTGGGAACTTCAAATACTCGTAGTCAGGATGCTTAGTTGTAAAGTTGATCCTTTCGGTACTTGCATGTTGATCTTGATTGCATGTTAGCAATGCATTGCTGTTAGAATTTTTTGAATGAATTTTTGGGAAATGTTGCTTGATGGAACAGTGAATTAGCGTATTAGTTGTGTGTTGTGTGTGCTGAGTCTTTCAGTTTTTCTTTGTATAAAGGGATTGTTTAGGTTAGCTCTAGGAACCTTGTGGGAAGTTGTTGGGCATTGATGCACACATCTATGTTCAAATGAAGCTTTTCGAACTCTGAACGATGTTTCTGTATTCAAAAGAATTTTACTTTGCCGACCATTGCCCGCTATCTTATTAATTGGTAGAGTTTTACGAAATTGTTGGTTTGCAATCCAATTTGTCATGATCTGTCTCATGTAGAAAAACTTAAATTAGTGGCACTATTATCTCTTTACCGGTCCCTCCTGTAATGTATTTTTTTAAAGCACCCTTCTTTTTCATTTTTTACCTTATTACATATTTTGAAGGCCAAGCAGTGATCCATAGATGTTCATCCTTCTGTTTGAACACACACACTCACACACTTGGCCCCCTATCCCGGCAACTGCATAAAGAAAGAAGGTGTTTTATGCACTACTTGCAGTTGCAAGTATATGCTAATTTCTGAATATTGGGCTAGAAGGATATAGCTAGCTTGAATGGAATCATTTAGAGTTTAAGGCTAATGCAACCATGCTTTCCTCCTCCGTTAGTTTCAACTCTGTAACGTGTCACCGTGCAATTGCATGTGCTTCTAACTACGTGTTTGCTATTTTCAGATTTTTATTAAACTTTGATCCTCATTGTTTTATTTGGGTGCAGTGCTGATAAAAGTGAGACTAAGAGCAACTCTGAGGTACCAGAGGGCGACCATGTTGAACCAGAGAACGAGCATGTTGATGAGAATTGAAGAGGAGGTTTTACAGGTTTGGTGTAAGCCGTGGGAAAATATTTTAGGTTACTCGAGATGTTGGATCCATGAAGCTGTTGAACTTTCAGTTTTTATAATTTATGCTCTCGGATGTGACTGTTATACGTTGAACTTGAGACGATTTTTGTAGGCTTTTTTAAACAGTTATACTAGTTTTGCTCATAGGATTTGTTTGTATCTTGGATTTAAGATTGGGAACTACTGTTACTCTAATTATTATTTTTGACCCTGAATTCTTGGTTCCCACATTTGTTGAGCGCTTGTGCGCGGTTGCTGAGTTTGGTTTAAATTTGTGATCAAGTAAATCTAGATGTTCATGTGTTGTGCATTTGATGATTCACGATTCTTCGTATGTTATCTGGATAACTTTTTCATTGCTTTTACGCGGATGCTGTATAACTTTGTGCATTACGGTGTGATCGATATGTTGCTGGATGTGTAGGCTTGGTGTGAGCTGAATAGGTAGACAATTGACATGTACCGATCCCGATATTCAAGGGACAGCGGGATGGTCACGTGCTGGCCAACACTTGAGGGTGACGCAAGCCATTTTGTGAAGGTATATGCTGAGAGCAAGTGAAGCATGCATATAAATTTCACGCGAATTACATAATGTAATATTCTAATACAAACCTTACCAAAAGAATATAATAATATTCATTCGTCAATAAAATGATAGTGATAATGCATGACATGTTCAGGGCATACATCTAATGCAGAGTACAAGCGGAAGGTGTGACAGAGAGTGCTATTACAAGTGATGTCAAAAGCAGAGAGGATGACATGATATCATTGATAGGGGAATGCTTCGTAACTCGGATCGTATACCTCGTTCCTATGTCCTGAGGGAGCGCAAAACAAATATGAGTGGATCAAGTTGATATATAAATAGTATTAACATAATTATTCAACAACGTACTAACTTCCAAAGTTTATGAAAACTCATATAGCATAATAAGTAGTAGGTTTTCCGAAAACCCTAGCATGCTATAAAACCTTTCAAAAACATATATCATATATAGTGTGTTAAATAGTGGTATCAGGATCACCCAAAGGTATATAGAACTCTTCAGTCGCTTCATTCGCCCGTAGGCTCCTATCACACCCACCCGAAGGCATATAGTATCAATCACACCCGAAGGCATATAGTGACCACTAGATAAGCACGAAAATCATTGTATATAATCTTTCCAACATGAGTACATATATCTCAACGGAGCTCAGTAACTCAAACATCATATCTCAAAATATCTTCATAGTATATAGTCATCCATCATATATACTACAAAGAATATGAAATCGATAAAGCATGGTATTCCAAAATATTCTCAGTAAAGTATAATATCTCATAAAACGTTTCATAAAACGTAATCATTAAATCATTCTTTTCATGTATGCATTTCTAATAGAAAAATTATGCATTTTGGAAGGGGTCCACTCATAGATACTCCGTTGTTGATGAGCTGTGCGAAATAGGAAGGATAGAAATGCCGCTAATAAATGCACCTAAGCGCATAAAGGGTCTAATTAATAAAACTCTACCATAATGATTAAATTTTGAAAAATGGACGTCATAAACTGATTTAGGGCATCAAAAAACATAAGGAGGACCTCGAGTATCCCTAGGCGCCGCCACACGCACCCTCACGGGTCACCACAAGGTGGTGGCCCCGACGCCATGCACGTGATGGGTTGCCGGAAAGTTGGTCAGAAAAGTCGCCAGCGCCATCGAGGACAGTGGAGCACAATGCCTCTGGTGGATGCGTGTGTGCTCCACGCGTCGACATAAACGTGCACGCACGCGCAAGCCCAAGCGTGACCTAATTTTTGGGATCCGATCGGGTCGGTTCAGATCCGGGTCTAGGTTGGGCTTGGTTCCAATTGGGTTTAGGACTTGGGTTCAAGGAGTTTGGGCTTAGAGTTTGAGTTTAAAGGTTTTGGGTTTGTAACCCGGCCCAAGGGATTGGATTTGAGTTGGGCTTAGTGGGCTGAAGGCCCTAGGTTTTGGGTTAAAAGGTTTGGGCTTGGTAGCTGATTGGAGCATATTTATGCAACTTTGTTATCTTATTTCTTTGTATTTACTTCGTTAATTTCTATTATTTTGGTAACTTATGTTATTTTCGTATTATTGTAGGTCCAGTTGGTATAGATGACAATAAATAGCTAAATGGATCTTATCTTATCTTATCTCCAGCTGCAAGGAGGAATCATAATCACACTCCAAGACTCTCTACCTGATTTTTAGAGTCCCAAAATAATTCAAAATGCCAAAACCTTTTCCTCCTTGGATTTAGCCATTCCCCCTATATATATGAAATTCCTGCAGAGATTTAGGGTGTGTCATGCCTACCATTCATCCATTGAAGTTGTTGGAACTTTCAGAGTTCTTTCTATCTTTATTTTAAGTTTCAATGTTTATTTTAAATTGTTTTTCAGTTATGTTGAACATGTGTAACTAAGTTTCTTTTTAGCTAGAGATGAATTCGAAGCCATGATCATATGTTTTATATAAATTGATTACATCCAGTTATTGTTTTGTAAGATACGAATGCGATTTACTTATATGCTTTATAGAGAACTTATTCTTGTATGTTTATTAAGGATGCATACTTAGTTTGCATGTAGGGATTTAATACTAGAATATAAGGGAATTTCACCTAATCGTTATGAACTTATATTTGTAAGTAGTAAAAGTCACTAGTCATGATTCAGTTAAGTAAATTCTTGGCACGAGTATCATGCTTTTCATAGTCACGAATGCTTTGTCAATGCTTATGATTTTTACAGAACTTAATAATCTTTGAGATGTATCTCTATCATGCTTTTCATAGTTAGGGAACTTGAGAAGAATAATTTGGTTGCGTCGCTGAGTCCAATTCAATGAACTTGGGAAAATTTGAGAGCTAATTAGTGCTGTTCACAATTAATTTGGGGCATTGTCATTTATGGTTTATAGGAAGAATAACTGGAAATCGATTTGTATGCATATGTTTCATGTGTGGAGAAGAATCCTTTAGCTATCCTTTCATCCATATTTCATTCACAACTTAATTTACTTGCAGCTATTTACTTTTGTTTTCATTAAATTCGTCCAAAATCCCCCCAGTCACTGTTTTGTTGTTAGTTTAACTTAGTTTTCAGTTTTATAAGTTTAATTTGTGTTGATTAGCATCCCTTCTAATCCCCGAAATAGAATGATCCCTACTTACTCGTACTACGATTGCATAATTAAAGGGTTTAATTTGTGTGTTAGTTTCTACCACATTAGTAGCCCGGCCAAGGCTTTGGCTTTGGGTTGGGTTTCGATCCAGGTCTGACCCGGTTTCAACGAGGGAGAAGATCGGAGCTTCTCGAGCTCTGATCAACTTTGCTACTCAACCCCAAGGTGTGATCTAACTACCAAATTGAAGTTTGGGATGAGAGGAAGAGATTCAACCTAAAACACGTTGTGTGGTGGTCAGAGCTGGCCGGAGTTTGGCTCGAAAGCCACTGGACTCGCCGAGAAAGCTTCCTGGGTTCTCTATGCTTCACAATGGAGAAGAGAGAGAGAGAGAGAGAGAGAGAGAGAAAGAGAGAGACCCAACATGGTGGTGCCGTCGTCGTTGTCGTTTGTTTCGATTTGGATGTGTGGGTGTGTGTAGATCAGGGAGAGGGAGATGAGATTAATGCGAGAGAGAGAGAGAGAGAGAGAGAGAGAGAGAGAGAGAGAGAGAGAGAGAACTCAAGGGAGACAAGGGAGAAGAGGAGAGTGTTATAAAAATAATAAAAAAAGGATAGGGAAAATCCCAAAAGGGAAAAGGGGAGATCCGGGTAGGTGAGGGGATAAGGGGGCAAAATGGTAATTTTATAAATCCGTTAATATGAAAATACACATAATTTGGGATGGGATTTCACAACAATACTGGAAGAGGGTGTGTTGATTGTTCGTTTATTTGCAATTTTGCAGTGTTAGTGTTTTGTGAAGTTTAATGCCTATTTTTTACCTCCATGGAATGCATGGTAGTTTCGAGTAAATTATAGCAAGTTGACATTCTGATTGAATGAAATGTAATGTATTGGTAGGGGTGGAGTCATACACTGGGGCAAGTATTGTATGCTTTATTACGAGAAAGATGTTTGAAATCATTTTCTCATTTCGCCAGACTTGATGTGAGATGTCTTAGGTTCGAATTCGATGGATGACGAATTCGATACCAAATTAGGCTGCTCATTATTTGGTCTAGATGAACTCCCTCTTCTCTTAGTATAAAAATATCTATGTGCTAAAAAAAATAAAAAATTGTTCATGCATTTGTTCTGTTGCTATAGCGACAACATTTGGTTTGTATAATTGATATCTGAACCTAAATGGCGCGAATTTGGAGAATAGAGATTCTCTATGCATGACGTCTATTCTTTCTTAAAAGCCGGACACATCTAAAAAATTTTATTAACTCCAGCTTTTCCGACACAAGAACGACGTCCCGTCTAGAAAAGAACTGAGACATGGACATCAAATGAAAAGTTCACCTTCTTTATGTGCCCTAGCTATCATATAGACATACAGAAGAGAAAGCCCATATCTTTTGCAGACGTATGAGGAGGTGCAGTTGAAACACATTAAAGAAACCCCATTCTTTGGAGTTGCTGGCTTTGCAATTCATCACACACTCTCTCTCTCTCTCTCCTCTCTCTCTCTCTCTCTCATGAATGTGTGTTGCTACTTTGACGGCCAACTAATACCCTCCATCCAACGGCCAGCAGGGGCTTGAAATTCATGTCTATATCTGGCAGCAAACCGACCCACGTTTCTTGATACTTCCAACATGGACCTTTTTTTTGGTCTCTCTCAATGTGAATTCCATGTCCGTGTATTGAGTGACTCTTAAACTAAAATGTCAGCCCACCGGCTAGTGTTTTTTTTTTTTTTTTTTTTTTGCCAATTGTCAAAATTAACAACGTTTACTCATCTATAATTTACTTAAAGTTGAACTCCACATTGAGAATGCAGCGATTTCCACTATTAACTTATGTAACTGGAAGTAACTAGTTAAGTTTACGACGAGTCTTAGATTTCATTAGTACATATAATTTGGAAATCATGCACGTAGATTTGATACATATGGATGTGAAGTTATACAAATCATTGACAATAAACATTTAAATCAAAACTAGTATCGGAAGTAAACCGTAAGCATAAAATTGGTAAAATTACAATCAACACTTAAATTTACTAATTACCATAAACCGCAAGTACCACTTATGACTTTCAGTCAAAGTTCAGAGAAGTCTCAAATTGTAAATTTGTAGATCTAGATTATTTAGGCCATTAATTGTCGGTGGATGACA